GGTTGCGCCCCCTTGCTGCTCTCAGGCCGGCAGCCCCGGAGCTCGGACATCACCGGGTCAGAGCGGGAGCGGGCCAGAGCCCCCAGGCCACCGCCGGTGTCCGTCCTCATGTCACCGTGCCACCCGCGGTGTCCCTCGGCTCAGCCCTTCTGCCGCAGCCGCGGGGCAGACCACCCCCTCTGCCCCCGAGCCCCTCGGGGAGCCGGGCCCGGAGCTGGGACGAGTCTCCACAGCCTCTCCCTCGGGGAAGTGCTGCCGGGGGCAGGAATTGGGGGGCTGCCTGTCCCAGCTCTGTCCCCTGGATGCCGCAGGGTGGGGGCTGGAGGCCGCAGCACCCAGGGGGCCCCCACGGCCCAAACCCGCAGCATTTCCCACCCTCCATCTCTTGAGTTCGCCCCCGGTCCTCGAATGGTTTCCAGCAGCGACCTCTGCACGCCCGGTCCTGGCCCCTGGACCCTTCTGTTCCCCCTGCGGGGACCCCAGGGGACATGGTCGCACAGGGCCGCCTGGGGCTCAGCTTCCCTCTGCTTTTCTGCCCAGTTCCCTCCAAAAAGGAGGCTTCTGCGGATACTCAGCCCCTGCCTGCGTGTGTCCTCCCCTCATCTCCTCCACCGCCTTTTGCTCCTTTTCTCCAGGACGCAACCAGGCAGGAACCAGAGACCTCAAACCCATTCTGGTCCCAATCCCCTCATGACCACAAGTGCCACCGTGCACGGGGCGTTCGCCGCCCACAAAACCTCGCTGGCACCTAGGAGCCACAGGCACTCCTGCCCCCCAAAAGCAGCACCCCAGGGCTGGCTCTGCTGATGCTGATGGGGTTAGGAGGGCTGGGCAGGATTTTCCTGCCTGCTGCCGTTTTGCCAGCCAGGATTGAGACACCACAGCAAAGCCTGGAGCCACACGGCTGGAAAACGTGAGCACCTGCGGCAGAGGACAGAGCCCACCCGGGATGCTCCAGCACCCACGAGTACCCGGAGCACACAGCCATCCTGCCCCCCTCTGCGGCTCCCTGCACACCCCCGGTGCTGGGCACAGCAGAGGAGGAGCCCTGCCACCAGCAGCCTTCCCCCAAACTGCGCTGAGGGACCAGGCCACCACCTCCCTTCACCTACCGTCCCACGGGCTGCTCACACCCACCACCTCAGCGCAGCGTCACCAGCTCTTTGGCAGAAGTTGGGTGAATGGCGACAGTGTTGTTCAAGTCGGCCTTGGTGGCCCCCATTTTGAAGTCCATGGCAAAGCCTCATAGCATTTCATTGCAGCCCAGCCCTTGCATGTGCAATTCCACCACCTTTGGGGAAGAAGCGAGAGGCTGGATAGGACCCAGCACTGGTGAAATCCAGGCTAAACACTGGACTTGGTGCTGGGGAGCTGGATTCCAGCCCAAGACCCAGTCTGAGCAGGTCAGAGCAGACCACGCGGGGACAAGAGGATAGCTGCCACGGCAGGCGGGAGCCAAGCCACCTCCTGCAGTGCCCACTTGTCCCCCTGGTCCCCTCCATGCATCTTCTCCTCCTCACCAGCGCACACCAGCTTCGTGACACACTTAAACTTCCTCTGGGTGACGGCGTGGTATGAGGGGGTGAAGGACGTGCTGTAGATCTTCACGTTCTCCCTCCTGTGCATGACCACAGCTTCACCTGCAGCAGAAGACATGACACGGCAGGCAGGGGATGTACCATAAAAGAGGGAGTTAAAGCACATTTTGCAGGGCTCAGACCACTTGCAGGTGATCAGACTGCTTCCTCAAGCATCAAACCAGCAGCTCTCAGCCACCACCTCCTGAGCCTCTTCCCCTGTGCTGCCGCCCCCCACACCCTGCCTGCCCCCACCTTCAGTGAGGCCCATGGTGCTGATGGGCATGCGGCTGAAGATGATGGTGGGGACGTCTCTGTAGTCCAGCCAGGAGTCCTGCTTGCCCTTGAAGAGCCTGTGCACCAGTTTTCTGCTGGCCGTGATCGCCACCGTGGGGAGGGACAGGGAGCCTGAGCCACGGCACAGCATGGGGACGAGGGGCTGAGGAGAGGGGGCACAGCCGTGGTACCTGGGGTGAGGAGGGCTCTCCCACAGACGTCCTCGACAGCATAGACCCCTCTCCTGGTGGTGTTCTGGTAGTCATTCACTACCACATGGCCCTTGGCATCCACCTGCATGCCCTGCCATGGGAAATGGCAGCCGCCTTGGCACCTGCCCTGGCCGAGACACAGTGCCAGCGATGCCTGGAGCGGCCTGTGCTGGCCGCAGCAGCAGCTGCCATGTTCCCAGCTGTGGGGGCATGGCAGGAACACCATCCCATGGCAGGCTCCGGAGACCCCAAGGACACCCAGAGACCCTGCCCATCGGTCACCAGTAGTGTGACGGACTGTCTGGCGGTTGGTCCCCACTGCGAGGAAGTGCGACAAGTGCGACACCTGTGGTGCTTGCAACAGGCAATGGCAGCCACACTGCAGGGCCAGGGATGCCGCCAAAGCTGTGGTCCAGCAAGTAGCACTCAAAACACTGGCTTTCACCCCAGTCCTGCCTCTCCAGGAGGGATGGGACAAGCTGCGGGGCTGCTCTGCATGCCTATACCTGTGTGTGCTTCCACAGGTCCATCCCGGTGTTCTCCAGCTCCTGGGGCAGTTTGAGCTGATCATCGAGTCGAACGTCCTCAGGGCCTTCAGTTGTTCCTCAACAGGAAGGACCTGAAGCGCAGCATGGAAAGGATCCCTGCAATTTCCATGTACACCACCATGTACCTGGCACCAACAATAATACTGCGCCTGCGGAGAAGCGATGACACTGTGCAGGCATGCGGAACAGAGGGAGATGGATGGGGCAACAGTGCAGGCAAAGGATCTCAGATGTCTCTGCTCAGTTTAGATCAGCCAGCTCAGGTACTGTGCTCGCCCAGAGCTCAGTCTGAATTAAGGGTGTGTGAACATACACAAGACATGGAGTGAAGGGATTCAGATCATTTGAGCATACTTAGTTTTGCTTCAGGTCTGTGAGGAGGTCAGCTGTTACATGGAAAGTGTGCCAGATTAGAAATGCTCAACGTGATTATTTCACGACTCTTATGCTGTTTAATCCCTAATGGATAAGAGACTGACATTACAATTCATATTTTGCATGTAGCAATAAGGAACATTGAAATGAGATTGCTAAAAAGCAAAAATTAAAAATACTGAGGGCTTTTTTCCCCAGCTCCCTATTACCACCCAGCTGGGGGATGCTCTGCAAAGGAAGCTGGGGACATCTTTTTGAACACTTTGGCCAACTCTAATTCATGAGGATCTCTGCAGGCCAGTGGTATGACATTTCAGTCTCTATATATCAAGCATGAGTTATCCCAAGCCTCAGAAGCTGTTTTCTGCCAGTCCTTGCAGCTACAGCAAATATTTCCCATAGGTCAGCCCTGAGACAATATCTTACACCCTTTAGCCCTTATTATTATCTTGGGGAGGGAATGTTTTCCACTTTGGTGTGCTCTAAGGATTCCTTCTGACTGTAACTAGGCAATGGACAAGGGATGTGTCTCAGAAGACAGAGCAAAAGCTACAGGGACAAAAAGTTCATTTAATGCATAACCATTTTCACTAAGAATTATAGGAACTAAGATATAAATAAGATGCATTATTCTGCACAGTACTGAAGAATTATTTCCCAGAAACAGGCAGAGGAATTGACTTGACTAAACCTGATGGATTGCTCCTCTGCTTGGGAACCAAGATGAGCATTCCTGTTGCCACCAGCTTGGATTTGGGCTGAGGATCTCCCTTCTTCTACCTCTCTTTCTCCACTGTGAGAGACCTTCAGAGCCAGGAGGGCTTTTGTCTTTGCAAGCCTGTTCTGGCTTTGGGAAGGCACATTAGCTCCATTTTTTCCAGATTGAATGCTGAAGTGACAAGCAGGATTAAATATGAAGTCTGCTACAGACTGTGAAACTGCAGGATGGGAAAAAATCCATCTGAGTAGTGATGTCTCCTGGTAAAGGCAGGGTAACTCCCTGTGTGGTGGGGTGAGTATTCACTGTCTAAGTGATGGCAGTTTCATACTTAGAAGACTGAACAGCTCTACAGACAACAGTATAAAATATTTGAAGTGTTGACCCTACAATCCTATAAAACTGGGAGATGGGCATTCAGGTAATATGGAATCACTTCTAGTTTGGGGTCATTTCTTATATCAAAACTAATGGATATTTGCACCCAGGAGGGATTTTAAGTCGGTCTCTCCATGTGTGGTTCTATAGGTCACAGCAGCATAGGCTCCTCAATCTAATGCCACAAAACAGCAAACAGTTCTCTCATAACTGTTATTTTAGGTCTGTATAAGCCATGTGCAAAGAAACTCAAACCAGCCCTCGTGTGAGAAGCTGTACAAATTCCAAAATAAGAATGTATCTTGCTCCAAGAAATACACACGTGATTGAATGGCTTTTTAGCTAGTAAATGAACACAGGCTGTGGATCTCAGCCATCGATTTGAACAGAGTACCTTAAATCCTGTGGGATTTATAGTGTAATCTGTTTGTTCTTTTAGGTTTCCGTACCTAAGGTTTAATAGGAAATGAAACAAAATGAAAACAAAATAAAATGGAAGGACATGAAACGGGATGTTTTCTCAACTGGTTTAAAGGTGTCTCTCCTGACAGTTCATAGGTCTGCACCGCTTTTTTTTCCAGCTGAGGATTATGTCCATTTTATCTACTCGAAAACAAAAATATCTATATGTAGATAACAGAAGCCTGCATGTGTTTGTGTGCGTGCAGACACATACATCGTGAATAAATGTGTACAGGCATATACATGAATATAAGATATATAAAACCCAGTTTTCTGAAAGATAATTGAAAACTTTTTGATTTATATCACAAAATAGACCTTTGCTTAACTGTGACAGCTGGAGGAGTGGTGGTGTCTTAGCCCAGCTGAGAACCTGACCCTGAAAAGCAGCTCCATGGACACCACAATGTTTGCTCTTCTTGCAGCAACTAGACTTCTCAGCTATTTCTCAGATTTTTCCTTCTCTTCTACTTTTAACTGTCAGTGACAAGAGAAAGGTGACCCACAAGTTACTTCAAAAGAAAAAGGTAAATTATGTGACAGACCCACTCTGCCTGCGAATCCTGACATCCTCCTCCCTGTCTGAGCCCACCACCAAATAGAAAGACCTCAGCTGCTTTCTCAGACTACAGTATTCGCTCATATGCCTTGGGGAAGGATGTAAAAGCATCTTTACTTTCAAAATCTCTACCTCTATGTACCTTGTGGACAGCTTAGCTCCAGGTTTCTCTTTAGACAGCCTTCGTGTATCTTTTTAATCTTCCTCTATATGAAGTTACAAAGGAGCTATGTCTCAAAAAAACCTTTTTTTCTTTCACTCTTTATCTGGTCTTACACTCACTGACTATATCCAGCTTTGAATCAGCCTCTGCTCCTCACTGTTTGCTTGGACTTACTGTCTTGCTCCTGGCAGAGGGGACAGAGGGCCTTACTGTTCAGTGTTCAACCGTGCCAGCAGCTTTTTCAGGGGAAAGTGATGATCAGCCTCCAATTTTCCCCACGGTTGGAAGAGATTGGCTCCATGGGCCATCAGAGAGAATCACACCAACATCTTGTTCTCTGTGCACCACAAGAACCACTGAGGAAGTGAAGGGGTTTCATGGGGTCTGCCAGAGCATCCCTGCTGTGGTCCTCTACAGGTAGATGTCTCCTCCTCTGAGGAGATATCATCCTCCACCAGCTGCACTGCTCTAATGCAAGGCTTAATGCAGAGATGATCAGACCTGAACTCTTGGGGGTCCAACACAATTCCTCAGTCGCAACTCATGGTGCCAGCTGAAGACCTTATTGTCTCCAAATGTCTCTCCAGTCTTCCTGCAGAAGTTATGTACAACAGGAATGGCAGAATACAACATATATCCATGTGCTTAGCTCCCAGTTCAAATCCACCTTCACTGGCAGTTCAAGCTGTGATACACTGGAGCAGCCGAGATGTAGATTCCCCTCTGTTGAGGCTCTCCTGAGAACATCTGTCAAAGCCCCTACTTGCTTTACCCCTGATTTACTTGTGGAAGCTTGTGGGATTAACAAGACCATTTCAAAACTTTCCTCTTTACTCAGTCTGAAGTCATACCTGCAGTAAAATTTCTCTCTAGTCCATGGTTGTGTAGCAGTCTTCAGTGAAATGTTCAGCTGTCCTCCCCTAAATTTACGTCTTTAAACTGCTTACTTGATCCTAAATGGTGCTTTAGATGCCCAGATTCTACTGAAAGCAATAACAGAAATGAGTGCTTAAATGCCCACTGGAAACAATGAGTGTAATGAACACATAAAACTGCTGGAGAACTCAAGGGGCAATTTTTGTTTCTCATTGTAACTGGATTCTAGGGATCTTCTGCTGGAGATGCCAATTATTGATTTTCCTAGGAGTTTAGCAGAGCTTGGCCAGCTTTGGATTCAGCTTTACATTGGCATGTGAGTCTTAGAAAACCAAAGGTATAATTTCTCTGAAGTCTTTTTTCTCTGGGTGAACAAGGCACATTTCCCTAGGTTCTCCATAGATCAAGAGCATCTCCCACACAACAGTGCAGGTTAGAAAGGTCAGCCACCTTTAAATAAGCCCTAATTGACACTCACTTCCCAGAATGAGGGTTATCAAAGGTTAAGGTACAGTTCCCCAGGCAATCAGTGACCTAATTCTAAACATCATTAATCCGTTTCACACTGAAAAATAACACTGGCATTTCAAAAAGCCCATTACCTTAAGGGATGTTGCTGCTGCTTTTCTGGAGGTTGGCCATGTTGGATTCCTTTGCCAAGAGTTCAAGTCATCTCTCACAACTGCTAATCAGATGATGCTGATGTTCACATTTGGCTTGTTCCACCACTCCTCGTTTCTGGTCCACTGTGTGCTGAGAGCATCCTGCTGTGGGAGGGAGCATAACTCCTTTTCCTCTCACTCCACCGCAGGTTTGTGAGAGCTTATCCAGTTCCCAGTTGTGTTCCTCCACCTATTGTCAAACGGTTGGCCATTTCTCACTCAGGGTGTGGGTTTGAGCGGCTCCTACTCTGCTCCAACATATGTAGGAAATGTTTAGGCTCAGGTGAGGGTTATGGGCAACGAGTCACCTTACCACAGACTGCACAAAGGACACTGTTATGCACAAGTCCTTTCTCTGGCATTTGGCTCCTCTCTCCTCTTATTCTCTCCGTTGTCATGGGAAGATGCAGGGCAGCTGCTTTGGGTCCATGCCTGAGTCATCTTGCTATCTGAGCAGAGCTAGCCAATGTGCTGCCTGAGCGTAAAGCTGTAGTGATCCTCCTGCCCCAGCTCTGCACAAGTCTCCTCTGCAAGCTGATACAGCAAACTCTCAGACCCTAGCATAGTCGAGAAGTGACCTTCTAGCTGGTAACATATCCCTCCAGCCCTGGGGATGGAGATCCCCTCAGTTCAGTCCCCCCAGGGATTGTTAGCCCAGATGTTACTGCACAGCAATCCTCAACTAGATTCATTTACCAAAGATCAATAGTCTAAAACACTTCCGTCATAAATGAAAACAACAAATGAAATTATATTTCCAGATAGGAGAAAGCTGATTTAAAATATTTTCTAACTTCTCAAAAGAAGTTTGTTTATAGCTGACATCTCTTCTATGACAGAAGGCTGGTTCCGTTCAGGCTGAAATCATAGGGATGGGAAGGGTAAGCACTGTGTCCTTCTGAGCCCGTATCTCACCTGCTGGAGCAGAGCCCTTCTACGCTGCAGGCCGTCACCATGACTGGAGTGCCTGGTGCTCCTCCCTGTCTGCAGCAGTGCCAGTCTGATGCCACTGAGAGCCTGAGAGGACAAGAAAAACAGGTGGGTGACAAGGGGAGGCAAAGAGACATCAGGATCATCTGCCAGAAGCAGAAGGTGGCAGAGTTGGGGAATAGAGAAGGGAGCGCTGATCTCCCATGGGAACCTATGTGTGCTCCCATCAGCCCTTCCACCATCCACCTTTTCTTCTGCAATTAGAGGAAAGGCTTTGGGAAAGCTGTTTTCCTCCTTTTTAAAGAAGACACTAGTAGCATCGATATGATGAGAGCCATGTCTCAAGGCAACTTGCATCAATTCACTTTCCATGGCTTTGAAATAGAAAGTTACATTTCTCTCAGGGTTACTTTGATATGTGCAGGTACAAAACCAGACCAAGAGATTGCAGATACCACATATTGAAGCAGACTCCCTCAGCAAGAAGTTGATGAAAACTGTGGCTGAGACACCCAGTGAAATCATGGATCCATAAAGGACAGCTTCATATTCAGAGGTTCAAAGGCAAAAAGGATGTTTGTTCGGCAAAGTAATAAGGCACGGCTACTGTATGCGCTTTTCACCTTCTATATCAGGCATTTATTTGTTTCTGCTGAGAGCCAGGAGCTCAGCAGTGTTTGTAGCAGCTACTTCATTCCTTTCACTCAATTGCTGGTGCACCACCGGGGCTTAGCAACAGGGATGTTTGGATGCTGTCTGATCCCCACGTGTCAGCTTCAAAACTGGTAGCCTAAGTCTTTAGAGAGAAAGAAAGAGAGAGGAAGAGGAAAGGAGAAGGAAAGCAAAAGCACTTAGCAGTGTGTCTCTATTATTCAGTCAAGATCATGTTCATTTTGGTCTTGTGCCCTTCCCAAAGGAGAAAGAAACTGTTGCTGGAAAAGACGATATGGGTGTCCTAAAGAGCAGAAGAAATAAAAGAAACCCTCCACGAAACAGATTACCCAAACTGCTACTTACCCCAATATGGAATTCACTCTTGGGAAAAGGCATACATGAGTGCACGTAAGAACAGCATCACCAGCTCAGACCAAAGATCTCCTCTCTGCAGGGGCCCCGAGCCCATGGGTGGGGAAGAGATGTCAGAGGAAGGAAAGGTTTAAGTGACTCTTCCCTTGGCTTTACTTTTCTCAGGGACCAACATTTGAAGAGCTTCCTGACCTGGTGGTTGTGTCGCTCCATCCCATTTGGCAGCCCCCAGGGCGTACATCCTCCCCTGTCTCTCTGAGCCACCCTTGCACTTCCCAGAGCATCCTTGGGCGAGGACTGTAGCACGCACCACCTTCACTATTAAAACACCTTCTAGGTGGGGAAAAATGAGTATGTCTAAATTTGACTGTAATTGATTTTATTTCTATCCTGTGTTTCAGCTGGGGTTGCAGGTCTGTACACTAATTTGGACACCAATAGCCCAGAATTAGTGAATATGTTCTCTGCATGGCTGCATGAATGAGGTCTGCCATAATACACCAAAAATGAGACTCTCTACGTCAAGATGTTCACCATCAATGATGAATGGTTGGAGCTGTGTATTAATCTAGGTCTGGTAAAAACAGGCAGAGGACTTCCTATAAAGATTTTTTCCAAGGATTGTTATTGATATTATTTATCAGTTTAATAGCATGCTAAAGGAGGGGGTCTGGTTTAGGGTCCTCTTAACTTTCAGTTCAGTAATGCACAGAGCAGTGGGTGTTGTTGAGAAATTCAGTGTTCTCACTCCTGTGGGAGAGGCAAAGCATCAGTAAGATACATATGGGTTACCAACTTCAGGTCAAGCTTCCAGTAAATAAGCCTCAGCCTTCTGCTGTACATCAGGGTGATGAAGAAGCGAGTGTTGCAGCTCGATTCCTGCGATAGCTATTTCTTTTTTCTTTTGACTTAAAGAAATGTCAGCCTACTCTTGACACATTTGAAATATCTGCACTGTGGCCTGCAAGATCTGTTTCAGGATTTGCTAGAAGACATATTTCATGTTCCTATTTAATTTCTCTTTTTTTTCTTAGTCTTGGATAAACTGTTTGCTAATGGCTTACTTTAATGTTTCAGATTGTATTGTATAAAACACTGCTCTTAGTCATACAAAGTAACAGCCAAGTTACAACTGTCTTTCATTAATATTAGCAAGGCTATCCAAGTGAGAACAAAATAACTCAATAAAGATCCTCTTCCCAAGTCTCCTGCTATTATTCCCACTTCACTCAACGCCATTTTTCTTTTTCAGAGTTCATTTCTAAAATAAACCCAAAAAGCAAGTTCCAGCCATGCCTGTGCATTGAGAAGCTGCTCACTCTCTGACTTCCTCCATTTATTTTACAGGAACGACTCAGAATAAAGCGATTTATACCGGGAAAACACCACTCTCGGACCTCACTCGTTAATATATCTTTTTTTCCCCTTGTGCCATAGTTAGGGAGGCTGTGGCAGATCTTTTCACATAAAGGCATTTGCCAGGGAACCCAGAGGCAATGCGGTTGCCTTTGCAGGAGCTCGGGCAGGGACAGTGTGTGTTGCTGGCCCTGCCTTTCTCCAGCTGCTGGTTTGATCCAGGGGAAGCGATGCCTTGGTCAGCAACAAATTTAAGAACTGCCAGAACAGCACCCGACCATGTTCCGAGCACCCCCCTTTTAGCTCCAATCACGTGAATTGAGGCAGAAAACTCATTTTCCCCCAGCTGTCTGGTTTTTGGGCCATTTACAAGCCCTGGGACAATCCTGCCCCTCTCGAGTTGCTGCAGACCCTGGGGGCAGAGGTGGCCTAGCCAGCAGAAGGATTTGCTTCTCTCC